GCCCCCTCCCCTGGTTCATCTGTTATGTGTCCCCGTCCTGCCTCATTGGCTTCCAGGTACGGCAGGCTGCTGGCCGCAGTGACACAAAGACTAACATGGCAGTCGGACAGAGCTGTATGTGAATCCTGCCTCGGTCACTTTTCCACTGTGTGACCTCAGGAAAGCAATGTGGCCTCTTCAGATTTCTGTTCCTTTGTCTATAGGAGAGGGACAGTGGTTTGCTGGTGGAAACATTGTCCTTACACAGCAACAATCTGGCCACACCTCTGAGTTTAGGACCAGGGATGTAGTAAGTGCTTAATAAACATGAGCCATTGTCTTTTTTCCTTTTTTCTTTTTTCCTTCCTTTTTTTCTTTTCTTTCTTCTTCTAGTTTTTTTTTTTTTTTGACAGGGTCCCATGAAACTCAGGCTGCTCTTACCTCACACTCACTAAGTCGCTAAGGATACCTTATCCTTATGCCTCCACCTTCAGAGTGATGGGATTATAGGTGTGTGCCTCCATGTCCACCTCATGTGGTATCAGGGAGCAAACTTAGAGCTTCATGCATTCTAGGCAAGCACTCTGCTGCCTGACCTGCAGCCCCAGCGACCCCTGCACTCCGTAATCTTCTCTTGAGTTGATGTCTTTCCTCAGCTACAAAGCGAGGCTATGGGCTGGGTCCCATAAACACACCTCCATTCTCAGAGTCACCGAGCAGCTACTCGTGTTCTGCTCTGGGGACCCACTCCAGGAGCAGGGAGATCGGCTCCCAGGTCTTGAGGTCTGAATAAGTCAAGGGACACAAACAAGCATTGGTTTATGTTTTAGGTATAGAAATATCTTTCGTGATTGGCTAATACAACATAGAAAGGACTTCCCTGGACTCATGCCCTGTTCACAGAAGTGCACCACTTCTGCAGCCGTGTTTGAGGGATGCAGGATTGTCATGTATCGCTATAGGTTCTGTCTTGGCTTCACAAGATTCAGGTCTCCCCATTTACTCATCCTGTCCTCACCACCATGACCTTAGTCTAAATACTCAGGGCCTGAGGTGCAGGCAGGTGCTAGAGTCTGGGTGTTTTTGCAGAAGGGACGACGGGCTGCCTTATTCCTAATGAGCCCCCACCCTTTCCCCTTCCCAGGGTATGCCAAACTAACTCCTCTGGCCTTGGTTTGTGGAGTACTACTCAGGAATGAGGCTCAGGGTCATACTGTCCTTTTGGTGCAACACAAGGAAATCTCCAAGTAGAGCTTTGTCTGAGCAAGGGCCACTCTGTGGTTTGGAGGCCAGCAGAATGATCATGGGGGCTGCAGCCAGGCAGAGCTGGTGGGGATCCAGTGCGCAGCGGGGAGACCCTGGGCAGCCGTCATCTCTTCAGTCTCCTTCTCTCAGAAGGGAGGTCAAGGAAGGACCGGTGCTCCACAGTAGACCCTAGGAAACCTCAGTGTCATTCTCCCTACCCCACCCCCACCTCCGCTCTCTAGTCCCTCTCTGGGCTAAGCTGCTGCCCAGCCTCTGAGTCAGCCAAGCTGGAGCCTGCACACAGCATCTGGAACCACCTCACCCCATGGCCCATGGCCCTCCACCCCCACACAGCACTGGGGGATGCTTTTTGTTGTGGTTGCAGCCATAATGGGATTTTCAGGATTGCCATTATGGAATCCTCAGGGAGGTAACCGAGTTAGATTTTTTGAAAAAGAGGAGGAAAAGCAAAGTTCAAGAGAAAGAATAAATCTGTGAATTCAAACCCTCTACACTTAGGATGTCTATTCAAGGAAAATGATTCCTAATTATTAAAATCTGGAAAACAGTAGGGAAGGAAACAGACATGGCTCCCAAGAGGAGCGACAGCAGATGCTTCTGTGATTTAATGGTTTCCCGGAACAATGTGAAGCTATTTTAAAAGCAGACGAATGACTCATGGTACCCAGTACTCAAGGTCCTCTGTGGTGGCAGGAAACTTGGAAGGAAGGAAGGCAGGAGGAGGAAGCCTAGGTTCCATTCCCATCTCCATCATTTACCAGCTGTGTGACCTTAGACCAATTTCACATCCTCTCTGAGCTTCCTTTTCCTCCCTTACAGAGTGGGCGTTTGGAAGGATAAAAAGGAAAATGAGCATGTGCCTGGCATGGTGGCTCACACCTTTAATCCCAGCACTCAGGAGTCAGGAGGCAGGCGGATCTCTGTGAGTTCAAGGCCAGCCTGGTCTACAGAGCGAGTTCCGGACAACCAGGGCTGCACAATGAAACCCTGTCTAAAAAACAAACAAAACGAAAACAAAAGAAAAAAGAAGGAGAAGAGTTAATGAGCATGTGAGGCTTAGCCCAGTGTTTGTCCATCCACATGAAACTCAGACGTGAAGCACCAGAGCAAGTCTGTGTTTGTAACAATACTTAATCTACTAATACAAACTCCTAAGGCTACAAGTTTTCCTCTGATGGACACTTTGACCAGAACTATACTTTTGAAATATGGTGTTCTAATTGTTGTTTTTTCAAACAGATCGCTTTACAACACAATTATATAATATATGAAAATATATACAGTGCATGTAAAATATAACTATATAGTACTATATTTGTCATTTGTAATAGTTGACAATGGTCAGGATTTAGTGCAAAAACATTTTGATACAGTTACCTTGAATTTTATAAAGCTAACGTCATTTTTTTTATTATGAAGGTCCCTTTAGGGTTTACTACATTTAAAGTCATTAAATGTAGAAATCTTACACTTTTTCAAATATTTATTTTGTTATTTTAAATTAGATGTATGTGTGCACATGTTGGGGCATGTACATGTGTGGAGGCACCCACAGAAACCAGAGGTGTTGAATCCCCTGGAGTTACAGGCACTCATGACCTACCTGTCATAGGTGCTGGGAGCCAAACTTGGATCCTCTGCAAGAGCAGTGCACACTCTTATCCATCTCCAATCCCAGAAATGTTGAAAGCAAAGGGAGAGCCTTGAAATCCTGGGTTATGGGCACAGAGGACATCAGATACGTGCCTGGAGGTGACCAATTCAAGTGGAAAGCTTTGGCGAGCATTGTATTTCATACAAGTACTGTTTATGTTAAAGCTATGCAGACAGATTTTTTTTAAACTTTAGATCTATTTTTAACCTAGAATTTTCTTGTGTGTGTGCACTTCCAGTGGTTGGAATTTTTTCTGTACTTCACTCCTAGATGGAGCACAGTAAAGTCAAAGAATGCGGGGAACATGGCATTGAGTTTTTGGAACTCACTGTCCTTTCTTTATACAGTGTAAATCAATGTCTGTGTTCTGTACCTAAAATGAATTGTATTTTTAGTTGTGGAAGAAAAACCTCACAGAGACTGTGGAAATAAATGGCTTCGTGAGTGAAGAGCTTGCCTGGGTAAAGCACGAGAGCCTGAGTCTGGAACCTTGAGCACCCATGTGAACAACAGAACCCGACCAAACCTGGTGTGGCAGCATGCAAAATGGCAAGCTCCAGATTCAGTGCAAGTCCTGTCTCAAATCACAGGGTGTAGAGGGACAGAGGACACCCTGATGTCACACTGTGGCCACCACATGCGTGCTCATGGGAAAACATATCCTCCACATATGCATATGCACAGTAAACCTAAACTTGCTGGGTTTGTTATGGCGTTCTCTACGCACACCTGGATCTATACATCTTTATATGTATGCACATGCCCATTCATACATGCAGAAGAGGCAAGCCAAGGCTTCCTAGTTATGGTTGTAGCACCCCCAGATGACTGTAGCTGTTTTTTGAGACAGGGTTTCTCTGTAGCATTTTTTAAATTCACTTTTTATCCCTGGTAGTTTCTTGCTTTATGTGCTTAAAGGTGGTTTTGTTTCATGCATAGAAATTTGGAGTCACCGAATCTTCTCCATCAAGTATGTTTCCATCCATGTCAGTTGTTTCTCTTTGCCATGATCATGTTTTTTCTGTCTCCAGTTCTGCTTTGCATTGCCACTCCTGCCTAGTCCCTCGTGTATGGTGGGTATAGTATTGTCAGTGCTCTTGGGCACTCCTGGAAGGACACACCATCCAGTTTTCTTTCATGTTTCCAGATAATCAGCTGACTCTGTGTCAAGTCAGCTGAGAATTGTGGAGAGGCTCAGCCCACAGAGCCAGCCCCTGCTTTCCACCTTTTACTCAGGTGGGTTGTCTTGGAGCCTACCCCCAGCTCATCATTAGCCCACTGGAGTCCTATTCTTGCTCTACATCTTATTTCCTGTTAATATCTCAGAAGACATCACTGTCTACCATTGGTTTTTTTTTTGTTTTTGTAAAGAGAAATATCTCATTCTTAATGTCTTTCCTTCTACTAATTCATAATTGTATGTATGTGTGCGTGTGTGTGGGAGAAGTTAGACAAATATCTAAATAAGTAAAAACCACAAAAGTTGTTCTCCTGGGCATGGGAGCATAGAGTTAGGTATTAATGACAAAGAGGTATAGCCACCTGTTACTTTCCATTTGGATTATAGGTATAAAACCTTGTTGTTGACTGCTATGCAAATTAGACATGCTACAATCTGCCAGCATCCATTTTGGTTGTTGCTCAAATGTTTAACATATAGTTGAGCATGAAAAATGAGTTAATCAGAATTAGAATTCAAGTCCAACTAGTATGTTCAGTCTCCACAAGTTGCTCTTTCTAACTTCTTGCAGGGGGGACTGTTTAACCCCCAGGGTTTGTGATGCACCCTACTGAAGGCGAAGGCATAAGTCACAAACAATCCCACACTAGTTTGGAATTATGATTAATAGAATGGTTATTTATTTAAAGGGGAAAAAACTTACACCGTCCCAGATAACAGCCCTCTGCGCAATCAGGAAGGGAGTCTAGTCGCTGGAAGCTGAGCAGGAAGTATGAGAGAGAGAGGAGAGGGAAGTGGCTGCTTTTTTAAAGGGAGAGAGACCATGCCCCAGTGGGCTGGTATCTCAGCGGCTATTGGCTGGAGGAGCGGAAGGACCTCCCGCAACACCCTACCATAACTCAATGTGTCCTTTAATCCTAGGAATCTACCTTCTGGATTTGATCTACATTGATTCTGCATACCCTGCCTCTGGCAGCATCATGGAAAATGAACAAAGATCCAACCAGATGAACAACATCCTCCGGATCATTGCTGACTTGCAAGTGTCCTGCAGCTATGGTTAGTATCTCACCACTAGGACTGTGAGAACTTGCCTTGTTGATCTGGATCCAGTGCTTTTGCCACAAGAAAGCTCCAGAAGTCGGGTTATCCCCACAGAGCTCCCTGTGGTACTGTCTTGAGCTTTAGACATGGGCTTGGCCTTTTATGCATCTCCACAGATCCTGCAAATTAGATACCTCTGTCATTTCCTTACACAGGGAGCTGTTTACACATTCAGTGAGAGGCATGGCCCAGGTGTGGCTGGCTCTGGATCATTTATCCTTAAAAAGCCTAGTAGGAAGCTCCCAGATAACTCTTCTTCGAGCAAATTTGGGACCATATTCCTTCCATTTGTGGCCCTTCCATCTGCTCCATCTGTGAGAGCTTGCCTTGTTGATCTGAATCCGGTGCTTTTGCCACAAGAAAGCTCCAGAAGTCGGGTTATCCCATAGGCTCTGCACTAGGGTAGCAGAGACAAGAAAGAAGCTGCCAAGGGTAGTTTGTTGACCAGTCTTACAAAGGGAGGCCAAGCCATGTTATCTAACTGTGGGCCTGAATGGAATGGGACTTTGATTTGGTAAGCAACTGGTCAGGCTCCAAATGCAAAGGGTGAGCATGATGCCTGATGCCAGGAGTACACAGGCTTACTGGAGACTTCCTGTCCCTGAGAAGTTAGAATGCCGAATGGCTTGTCTGCCTGGACACTTGGTGTGGCGCCTAAATGTGAGTCAGGTGCCCCAGTCGTTTGTGAGAAGGAACAGTGATCCAGGCAGGGAGTCAGCAGTGATGGGGAGAATGGAGAGCAGAGCTGGAAACGGGCCTCTGCTGCCAGCGTTCACACAACAGGATAAAGGAGTAAAAGCCTGGGTGCCCCAGAGGGGTGTGAGAAAAGCCAGCCCTACCTGTCGTACACAGGGTGGGAGACAGCTGACCGCCTCTGCTTGGCAGGACCACAGGAAAGCCACAGGCCATGTCATCGCAGGCACGACAGGGTCTGCAGTGTAGGCCAGCTCTCCTCTGGGGCCTGTGTGTCCTAGAGCCTTCAGACACCCCAGCATTGCCTGGTGACGAGCATAGCAGCTGCAGACTCAGACCTCAGAGTACACACCAGGGGGCAAGTCTCAGGCTGCATCCTGAAAAGTCACTTCCTCCTCTTCATTCCTCGTGTGACAATAGGGTCACACATGGTTCCTGGCCCTCAGCAGGTGCCAGAATTTTCCAGAACCCAGAGCAGGTATATTCTTGTCACTGTGCTCTAGATTTGTGCCAGCTGCCACCAGCTTGGAGAGCAGATGTCATTGTCCTCATTCAGATATGATGACACCACCGATGACTTAGAGAAGCAGAAATGACCTTCAGAGCCTCAAGACTCGGAGCCTGAAGGTCATGGCCCCTGCTGCTCTTCAAGACGTTTCCCTCTCCCCAGCCTCCCTTCTTTCGTGTCTGCCCCCTTCTCAGGAGGAATGCAGTGACAGTGCAGGTCTGAGGGGAGTGACAGAGGTGACAGTGTGACTCAGGCCTCAGAGTCTGCAGTAGAACCTGGCCTGGCCACCTCTTGGTGATAGGACTTTTGCATATTGCTGCTGTCTCTCCATCATATGATGGACAAACCCTTTTCCTACACAAGACAGATGTCTGCTGTCCGTCACCTAGTGCAGAGAGCACGCCATCTGGATTGGACTTCTGCACTGGCTAGGGTGGTCTTGCATTCATGGCACACAGGAGACAGTGCAGCACCATCGCTGGAAATGTGCTGGAGGCACAGACATGTGATCCTGCTCTGTTCTGGGGACCAGGGCTCCAGCTTGCCCCAGCCTTAGCTTCTCTCCCTCAGCCAAAAGCTCTAGGTCACCTTCCATAGGGCAGAACCCAAACCTGACCACTCCTCTAGGACCTGCCCCAAGGACAGTGAAGCAGCCTCAATAAGTCAGGTGTGTCTGTGTCGGCATTCTCTGGGCTGGGGGAAAAAGTCAAGCCTCTGAGTTTTGTGCCCACTTCCACAGATCACCTCACTACCCTACCACACGTGCAGAAGTACCTGAAGTCTGTACGCTACATTGAGGAGCTCCAGAAGTTTGTGGAGGATGATAACTACAAGTAAGTCGCTGTCTCCCTAGCCGGGCCCACTTGCCACTGCTGTCTTTAGCACCCAGGTGCCTGGAAGGGTCAGGAGTGACCTGCAGGGCTTCCATGCCCCACCAGAACAGCCCTCAATACCTGCTTTTGCCCCAGCCCCTCAGGCACAATCCAGGGAGATGGTGTGCTCACCTTCCCATGTGGCCTGGGAAACACCTGTGAACTCTAGCCATGCGTGGGGCAAGGTTGACACTTCAACTCTCACAGGGACTCTTGGCACTGGGTAGAAGGTCAGCTGACCATATTCTCAGGACAGTGTTCTCTAAGGACCTGTTTCACAGATGGATGAAACAGCCAGTCTCTGGGTCTCTCAGCTCTGCAGGGCTTTCCATTTGGCTCTAGCCAAGGGCCCCAGCACAATCTCTGTGCCTCTGTGAACAGATGTATTTCTCAGAAAGGCCCAAAGGGCCCTTCAGCTCATCTTCCATTTGCCCTGCTCCAGTTTGCAGTTCTTCCTTCCATAGTGGCCCCTGGGTGTGCGTGCTCAGTATCTGAAGGCAGAAGAGGGCTTTATTCTTCGGTCAACTCTGGCTGCCCATTTGGGCCGAACATACTCTTGACTCAGTGCTTTCTCATATAACCTGACATCAAGGAAAGTCTTAGCCATATTGTGAATGATCATTCGTTACCCAAGTGTCACCCTCACAAAACTTCTTTGACATCTCATCTCACGGACTGCTTCTGTACACTGTTTCTCTGACCCTGCTATCTAGTGCCGTCTAATCCCTTGCAGTTTTATGTCTGAAAGCCTGCTCTTGCATCATCTTGGTCTGTGACAATGATCCAGAGCCGTTGTTGGGACACCCCACCTGTCCAGTGCAGCAGCAGTGGTTCAGAGCTCTGACTGTGACTCGGGTCACAGGGTGGGGCCTGGAGATTGGCCTGCTCTCGCACTCCACTTGAGGCCCTCATTGTCCTTGCTGTTGCTCTCCCATCATTCATCACAGTGAAGAAGGGTGCAAAGGTGTGATCTAGCGCAGAGTAATGGGAGGCTCAGAAGAGGGCCAGAGGTCACCACTAAAAAGGCATCTATTACAAAGGGGTTCATTTTATTTACAAAGCGCTTGCTGTTCCTGAAGAGTGGCCCGGAGTGTGAAACTATTCCCACTTAAGTTCTGGTAGAATGTTTTCCATTCATGTACCAGTCTTGCATTAAAGAGACAGTAGTTTTTCATTAACACTAATATGCTTTAAGGAGAAAAATGGCCTATAAATACTTGTAAACATGAGACAATCCTTGGACAAGCTGCAGATTATGAGTAATTACTCCTTCCATTCTGAGTAGAGCACTGCCCCCGCCCCCAGCCCTCCACTAAGTAACAGTCAGCCCGGGGCTCCTAAAGGCTCTTTGTTGAACCAAACTGGGCAAGCCCATGGAGGAGGGCTGCCTTCCTGCCCAGGCCCCCAACCATGGAGGGCCCCCTTTCCAAGTATATCCTGTTTCTGAACAAGATATGGTGGGCAGGGCCTGTGATTCTGCTGGAGTGCTGAGTCCTGTGGCCAGCTCACACCTGGAGGTGGCTCCTCACCGCCAAGGATGCAAGAACTTAGGACACTGGTGACCTCGTACTTCTAATACCTTGTCATCATCTGCCTTGAGAGAGAGACTCTACCAAGCGGCCCAAGCAGTGTTTTCTTTCTTATCTGTTAGTCTGTTATCAATTTAAGAAAAGTGCCCCAAGTTCTCACCACTTAGAAAACATGGCCACTAGCATGAAGTAAGCAGCACTTTGAACACTTGGCTATGCATGTAAACTTTATTTACATATAGAAAGGGGTGGGTAGGTGAATGGATGCAAGGGCAGAATTTACTCAGAATGGATCATATTATCCTTGCTATTTGATTAAAAATCTTAAATTTCTTTTAATTCAACCAGATAAAAAGGAAACAGAAATAAAAGGTAAGGAACGATCACTCTTTAAGTTAATGTTTATTCACTGTAATACTACAATGTATTATTTCCTGGGTCTGCCAGATGGCTCAGTGGTTCATGGTCTTGATTACTCCTCCAGCAGGGGAGTTCAATTCCTAGCACTCACATCTGGCAGCTCAGAACTACCTGTAACTCCAGCTGCAGAAGATTGAGCACCCTCTCCTGGCCTCCATGGGCACCTGCACACACATACATATTACCACACAGAGACTCATATATAAACATAATTAAAAGTTAGAATAAAAATATATTTCTTAAAAATCTTATATAAGACTCATGAATGACAGGAAATCTATGAAGAGGCCTGAGTCTGGGTGTTTCCTGTGACCAGGTCATTACTGTGACTGTCGGTTGCCTCAGGTTATAAAGAGGACACTGATGGCCCTGTCCCAACCTAGGCTGCACTTGCAGGATTTTGTTAGTTGCGCTATGCATGGACCCCACACTCCAAGTGCATACTACGAAAACCATGCTTGGGAATCATAATTCCTGCTGTTCTGTGTTTTTAATGGAATTTGGTCCTCATCCCCTGGGCCTTTATTTTAAATCAGTCCCTTACTTAGCAGGGTTCATCGGGATCTGGGGCCTCCCTTCTCTTGGAGAGCTGATTAATCTGAGCTTGGTCTCCTGGGTCCCCCTCTGCTTTTCTCCTGGTCTGTAGACCGGACATTGTTGTCTCCTGACGCTGGGTGCTGCTGCTGACAGTCTCAAACTTGCCTGGGTTTTTTTTTTTTCTTCCCCCTTGCTTTGCCTGGTGGATAAAGAAGTCCATGAAATTCAATAGAAATCCTCAGAGGAGCATGCTCCCTGACCTCCAGGTCCCTTGGGTGCCTTCTCAGCTGCAGGCCAGCCCCCAGTGGTTATGCCTGCAACTGCTTCCACATCCGTTCTTGGCTTCCACCTGGGCTCCTGTGTTGGATGTTCTCTGCCTGCCTCCTCCTTGAGCTGCTTCCCAACAGCTGTGATGGGCACCTCAGTCACCAGCAGTCCCCAAGCAATCTGCTCTAAACCTCTAAAGGGAGGTGTGCAGCCAGCCCTGTCTGGTTTCATCTTTGATGTGTTTTGCTGTCCTGAGTCTCCCATCTCATTTAATTCCTTTGTCTCATCACCTTGATGTTCAGGTTTTGTTGAACTGAGCTCATGTTCTTATAAGTTGCTCCTCTGCTCAAGGGTTACCTCCTGGGTTGACCTTGGAGTCACTCTCTCCTTTTCATTTCCCTTCCGTGAGGTGACAAGATCCGTGGTGTTGCTGGACCACTGTCTCACTACCATTTGAGAAACTCTTCCCTGGATGCTCCTCAGAAAGACATCTGACTCTCCTTCCACATATGCAGAGGGGCTGGTTCCTCTTCTACTGCCTAGGAGGTCCAGGATCACCTAAGAAAGCAGGAGCTTCTCTTCATCTCCCAGGGCTAAAGGATAGCTCTCAGGTTGACAGTCTGGTCCTACAGAACCTGCATCCCATCATAGTATACCTGCCTGCACTCACTAGTGTCATGAGTTTGGCTGTAGAAGCTGCACAGCCTCTTTCTCCTCTTTTTTTCAGGCTCTAAAATGTGCTTCCGTTACAGAGTTGTGGGTAAACAAGCAGGGACCAGTCGTTCATTTACCCTGTCATCCTTAACCATCATACTGGACCCAGAAACCCTGGAGAGGCGATAGATGGAAGGGTTGTGACCTGAATCAGATCTCACAGTATTCCTGTATTCTGTGACCCATGTACTCTTTAACAAAGCCTTTATTCCCTCCCCCATCCCATGATAGACCTGGGCTCCTCTGACCTGTGAAAATCTTTGGTTTCAGGCTGTCACTCAGAATCGAACCAGGAAGCAGCTCTCCAAGACTAGTCTCTTCCAAGGAAGATCTTGCAGGTATTGTAGCTACCTCGAATAGTACAAAACCACATACAACCCAGACATGGCTGCCAAAATAGGCCCTGTGTGGAGCTCAAGAACACAGTTGAGTTCATTGCTTGGCAGGCTCAACTGTCCCTGCTTATAGCCCCCTCCACCATCTGCCAGAATCCTGATAATGTAGGACCTCAAGAGATCAGATCCTCAACTTAGAAGCATGCACTAAGTACAGAACCACCTACACCCTTGACCACCAGCCTGCCCCCCAAAGAGTGCACCCAAGATGAGTCAGACTCATTAGATTTATCAACTCTGAGGGAAGCACACACTGTGTCACCAGCAGTGGGATCCTAGGATCTGCTGTCAGAGCCAGGCTCTAGCTTTGTCTCTCCATCTTTCTCCTTCGTAACCTTATCTACGGGATGGAGTGAAGATTCATATTACCCTTGTAGGATTGCCATGATGCCTGGGTGGCCACAGGCCTGTCTCGTGCTCTGCCCACACATGTCAGAGTATGCTTGGTGTTAGCTACTTTGTTGTTACTGTCATGACTGTGGCCTTTCAGTCCAGCCAGCTCTCAGAGATGGAGGCTGAGCAACACTGTTGTCTGGGAGAGGCTAGAGAGGCCTCCAGCAGCACATCATTCTGGTTACAGCTCTGTCACCCTCCTGTCACCACAGCCTGGCTTCTGAGCTGCTGCACTGTAGCCAAATAGCTTTATCAGTCTGGGCTGTGTTTTCCCTGTATGTAAAACAGAGATAATGAAGCCACCATCCCAACAAGGAGGCACTGAGATCAGGTGCCCAGCATAGTCTGCATCTGTCCCTCTGCAGTGAGTGTTTGGGAAGTGGTGGGAAACTACTGCCTTATGTCACTCCATTCCCCTCCTTGGGCTGCTCAAGTCAGCCTCTCCAGACTCCCAGCTGGGATGTGTATTGGTCAGACTAGACCCACAGAAGTCTCAGGAAACCCTGAAGCGCCTCTGTCCCATCTCTACGACACGCTCCTTGCTCCTTATCTGTGCCAGCCTCTGCTGTCTCTGGGTGGTAAGTTAGACTCTTCCTTGCACCTCTGGGCTTCCCTGCTCATGAGCTTTGGAAGATGCTGCTGTGTGGCCCTTGGCACTATGGGGACTGTTAAATTAGTGCTGTATACAGTTTATTTCTCACGGCATCTCCTGGGACCCTGTTTTAAGTGCCCCTCCTGCTGTCTCCTCAAAAACCTACTGTCTTTCCCTGTCAGATGGCCCTTGTCAGTAGTGGTCCAGAGAGCTATGGTGCTGAGCAAGTTTCTCATTTTCAATCTGTCCCTGTTCTAGAACTCTCCCCCAAGCAAACTGCTCTCTGAGATGTTCAGCACTGCCCACGCCACCTGTAAAATGGGTGAAGTACGCATGTCACTCACGGGACTGCTACAAAACATGCAGGATCTGGCCCAGAGCTTTCTCATCACGGGCAACTTTGCCATGATACCACGGTTGTCAGTGTGATTCCATCACTGAAGTAGGCTTTAGCTAACTGCAGGCTTTAGCTAAATGACCCTGCCCAAGACCCCAATCAGGCCTGGTCTCATGGTGGTGGTGGTGACGGGCAGCAAGCTCTGGATGCCCAGCTGACCCACCTTGTCTCTGTGTAGTGTGACATATTGCATTCATGAGTTTGCTTCCTGCCTGGCCCCTCCCAGGACTTTGTAGGTCCTATATCACACCCTTGTGTGGCAGGTAGCCAGCGTGTCCTCACCTGCAGTCGTCTCTGAACGCATTTTCCCTGTGCCTGTCTTCTCCAGCAGAGTAAAAGCCCTCCGAGAGACAGGTCTGGGGTGGAATTCCTAGAGCCTGGCCTGCAGACCTCCAGGTGAATCTGAGCTGCCTTCCATTTAGCCTTAGCCCTAGAGTTCCTTCTTGGGCTCTATGGGTACCTGTCCTTGAGGGCAGCTCCAGCGTGGGCTGGCTGCTGACTCTGCAGAACCTTCCAGAGAAGTGCTGAGACCAGCAGCTCCTGCACTGTGGGGAGAACTAGACTCAGACGAGTGTTTTTCCACCAACCTTCTAAATCCCTGGCTTCAACCCCAAAACAGGATGTCAGGGTTCGTGTTGATCACCAGAGATCCAGTGGCTTTCTAGAAAGCTCATAGCCATTCAGTGGCTCAGGTTTCCCCTCCTTGAAGCTTCAGAGGAAGATAAGGAGTGCTGCTGCAGCTTAGGTCATCGAATCCCAAGGGTTCCTCCAGGGCAAGGTCAGCTCCAAGGAAGCTTTCTGGGCTCTGGCAATTAGACTGAACTGCGTGGCAGGAACTCCACAGGACTCAGGGACAGGAATGTGCCTCGTGCAGATCCAAGAATGGGAGGAACGTGGCCTCCCCCTCCTCCTCAGGAGGGGCCAGGCTCCAGCTCAGAGCTGTGTCCAGCAGTTAGACATCCTCACACTTGGCAAGGAACAGCCTTTAGGTGTGCACCTGCATTTACACAAGGCACTTATGCTGCAGGTCTGTGTGTCACAAGCACTTGCTATGAACCTGTTACCTGACAGGGGGGACCCAGCCTCCTGGAATTCATGTCTTAGTTGGGGAAAAAGGCAAGGACAGGCATGTTTGGAGCCAAAAAGAAGCCAGTGTGAGCAGACCAAGATGGTGTGTGTATGTGAGGGGCTATCTCTCTCTATGACTCTTTTCTAACCAGCTCTTGCCAGGGACTGGGAGACCTTGACCCTGCACAGATCAGATAGCAGCAGCCATGACCTCAGGAGCCTTGACTAACAGCAGTAGCAGCCTCTGAGCTATAAATGTTCCCTTGGCCTCCAGTGGTCCCAGAAGCTGCCAAGGGCTACCCCCACTTTCCTTAGGGGGAATGGCCATGTGGCAGTCTGTCTCCACAAGGAGACTATAAGCAAGGAAGTGGAGAAAATTGACTCAGTTTCTGATCTATGGAGAAAAAAAAAGTTAGGGGTGCCACATTTCCAGTTACCCTCTCCATGTGGTGCTATTTATACAGTGAACTAATGCTTTCCTGGAGGAAAACATCACATGTAATGTCCATAGTGCTGCCACCCCACTCCCACAGGGCAAGTGATGTTTGTGTATGTCTTGAAGCTAGTGAAGACAGTTCCAGACATTTCAAGCTTTCCACACTGGGGAAAAATCCTGGCCCTGGCCTCTGTCTCTGCTCTCTCAACCAAAAGGCTGATCTCCTGCATACCTTTCTGTCTCTGTGCAGACCTACATAAAGCTTGGCTGCAGCGTCTCTGAGTTGTGAGAGCAGGAAGGCTTCAGGCTGACTCACATCTCAGGGCTGTAGAGGGAGTTCCCTGAGGCCATGCCAGAAGTTCTGCTACTAGCACAATGCCTCTTGGGAATGTTAACTCCTGGCCCTCTCGGGCAGGCTCTGATGCCATCTAAAGGAGAGACAGTGTGAGGCTATCACCTGAGCACCAGATTCGGGACCCAAGGACCGATATCTAGTCTCAGCTCCAGTGCCACCTCAGAACTCAGGGTAGAAAATAGCACTTAATGTCTCACCTACATTCTGTGTGTCAACATCAGGGTGCACAGGGTAGGACTGGAACCTCACCTCGTAGAGGGATTGTGACTCACACAGCTGGTACCTGCTGCTAGCTGGAGCTGGGCAGCATTAGTGAAACCCAGCTGGAGCCTCTTCATGTGACCTGAGTTTCCCTGGAGTACAGCAGGCTCAGGGTCATCAGACTCCTGCTTGGCAACTGGCTGTCCTCAGAGCAGAAATGGGGAAGGCAGCTAGAAAACTGTGGAGTAACATCTCCATGAGTCCCCAAAGCTAGGCAGCCTCACCTCAGCCTTCCACTGAGGGTCACAGAGACTGGTTCAGGTCCAAGAAGAAAGATCCTGCCATTCACTGCAGCAGCCAAGGACTGTGTGGAGCACTCCAGACAGATCACATGGGGAACCTCTCTCTCATCGTCCTCACCACCTGGTGCTGACCTGGACTGAGCACCTTCCCCAGCCTGTCCACATGCTCACTGAATGTACCCAGCCCCTGCCTGGCAAGTCCTCTGGGCTACTCTTAGCCCACTCCCATTCTGTAGGCAAAGATACCAAGATACTCACCCAGGGTCACACATCACAGAAGTGGCAGACCCAGATGATGGGTTGGGGGTCAGGACAGGTCTGTCACCTGTATCCAACACACAGAGCAGGAAGGGTACAATAAGGGCTCTCTCCCTCTTATCCTGTGTACTCATTTGTTCAGGGGATTATAGACCTGCATGTCTCTGTCTTTCTTATAGATTTTTTTAAAAAGAGAAATACATATCATTATCCCAGGCTTCAAACTCAATATGCAGCCTAGGATGGCCTGGGACACTTAATCCTTCTCTACCTCCTGAGTGCTGGGACTGCAGGTATGTGTCACCACACCGTTTCTTAACAGCTGCGTTGAGTTTGTCGGAATCAGAGCCCTAGTCGTTATCTTGTGTTCAGTCCCCTTGCCTCATCCAGTAGGGCTGCTTTGGCCTGGCTACCTGTGGCAAGAGAGCTGCAGTGTGGCCTTCTCCCTCACCGATTCCCTCAACTTGCTAACCACAGCCCCATTTGTATCAGTGCCACTGCTGTCTCCAAGGGGCACAGCACCTTCCAAAGGGCAGTTCTAAACCTGTCGTTTCCCCAGGACACTTCCATGGGTGTTCTTAAGAGTCCATGTGTTGTCAGCCTTGGCAGATAAACATATACTCCTGTGTAGTATGGAGCGGTAGGGCTGCGTCCCGCCACCTGGCCGCCTGCATGGCTAGCTTTACCCGAAATAATTACATGGAAACTGTATTTTTTTAAACATTGCCTGGCCCATTAGTTCCAGCCTCTTATTGGCTAATTCTCACATCTCGATTAACCCATTTCTAATAATTGGTGTAGCACCACGAGGTGGTAGCTCACCAGGAAGGATTCTAGCCTACATCCGTCTGGGGTCGGAGAATCATGGCGACTGCCTGACTTAGCTTCTTTCTCCCAGCATTCTGTTCTGTTTACTCCGCCTACCTAATTTTCTGTCCTAT